ATTAAATTTTCGCCACAAGATGTCCTCAGTAGGTTACAAAATCTTTCCCAAACACCATTTTTTCCTCTCTCTTTTCTTAAAAAAAAGAAAAAGTGGAAAAAGAAATATTCTTCAAGTGTAAAATGAAAATAAATCTCTATAAAAAAATTTTTTTCTGTACCTCAAGGTAAATAAAAGTAAGGCATAGTCATTAAAATTAATTATTCTGTCCTTTTGTTCAGCGCACTTTTTCCCACGAAAGCAAACTTCGCTCTCTCAGGACAGGGAAATGATTCCAAAAAGGCTTTTACAGGCAGAGAGTAAAATAGGGTGAAGAAAGGAGAAGGGAGGGTCTCACCCAGATCATCCATGGTGGGTCTTTCACGCTTAGATATTCCTGTGACTTTCAGCTGGTGCAACTAGATGATAGATCATCTTGTAGGACTATCTTTGCTCTGTCAGCCCTAAGGAGTTAGCTGGAGCCGCGGAAGAAGCTGCGGCCCTCCCGCAGTCACCAACAAGCCTCCTCATCAGTGGCCACCCCTCCAGGGCAACTTTCAACCCACTATGGGGTCTACCAGCGAAGAAAAAACAGCCGGTGGAGAGACGAGCCTCTTCACACAACTGGAGTCACTGTGAACCGGAACCGGAAGTCAATGCTTGCAAATTTTATTATGGAAGCATATCTCCTTTATATTATAATATTTTTTTCCAGAAGTCCTTTATTCAAAATAAATTTATGAAGGCAACCCCTATTCACCACATTCTTTATGTACTAAATTTAGGTCATGGCTGTAAATACCTTCATTTTTATATGATTCCTGATCCCCTAATTTAATTTAGGTAGTATTAGTTGTCAGGAACAATTTTGCCTCCCAGTTATTCTAGTATACTCTTCTGAAACCCTAATCCCTTTCTGGCAAAGTTTACAATAATCAGCTCTTGTTTAGACCACAATCCAAAAGAGTTTAACCTCTTCTCATTCTATTTTTTTTTAACCTATTTGCCTACGTTTCGGCAGGAAAGTGTCCTCAAAAACAATTTATCAAAGTTAGAGGACTTCTCTGTTATTGAAAAGGAGTGCAGGCCATTCCTTTATTAATGTAGTGGATGTCATCGCATAACACAGTGGTTCTCAAACTTTTTAATGCCGCGACCCCCAACTGGTCATAAGTCGAGGACTACTCAACTGGTGCAGCACCGTTTGCAGAATGGGACTTTTGGCAGGCTCAGTAGGGCAGAGACAGCCTGGACAATTCCTATTGGCTTTTGAAAGCCAATAGAATTAGACTCTATTCAAGAGAGTCTATTCTATTGGCTTTCAAAATCCAATAGAATAAAAGGGAGTAGCACAGCTAAGGAAAAGGGGAAAAAATGGCGGACTGCGTTGTTTGGCGACATCCGTGAAATAGTCGTTCGACCCCAAATGGGGTCCCGACCACAGGTTGAGAACCACTGGCATAACAGGTTAGGTCAGAACTGGAGAGAGTTTAAAGATCCTTCTCCCTAGCTAACTTTAAATGCTATTCAGCAGGCATTACCTCGGTGTAGCTGATGTTTTGGAAGAATGAAAAAAAAGGGGGAGAGAGAGGAGATACATTGGTCCAATCAGAATGAAAGAAGACAAATTAAAGGTCATCAGGATGATTACATCTTCCAGTTTATATTTTAAGAATATTACAAATGAATTAGTTTACAAGATTTTAAAATCTACCTTCAATGCCTTCTAATCCTGCATTACAGGAAAAAACAAGAAGGGGCAACCAGTTAATCTTCCTCCTTCAGGAAGCACGAATATTTAAATAATGAAAGCAATAATCTGACAATCCATTTTCCCACAAAGATTCAAGTCTGAAGGAGTATGAATTGCTTTTATTTCTACGAGAGGCAGAAGAAAAATACCAAATAATATAAATAATACCATCTTGGATTTGAGGGGTCCTTGGTGCTCTCTGAACTTGCTTGTTTTGTTGCAAACGTTTCATTACACTACTTAGGTAACATCAGTGCTAGCATTACCACTAGCACTAATGATGTTACCTAATTAACATAATGAAACGTTTGCAAGAAAATAAGCAAGCTCAGAGACCACCAAGGACCCCTCATTTCAACCCTGAGCTATAAATATTCTCCTTCATTGGAATCTTGGATTTCTCTACTAAAGTCTTTTAAAGGAAGCTTTTTTCAACATTATCCCTTCGCCCAAGGAAAAACACTCGTCAAAGGAAATAAAGATGTTGCCTCCAAATGCAAAGGATAAACTCCTCGCGAGTACGAGTTCTCCGGAAAGCCGTAGAAATGCGGTCAGAAGCTTGGCTGAAGTGAAGCCCCAGAAAACAAGTAAAAAGGCGGCGTTCAGAACCCCAAACTCACAGCCAACCAACCTGAATGTTGAAGTCGGCAGGATAGAGGCTCCGCGCGGTGATAAGCCAAGCCTTGGCGGCCCATAGGTCTCCTTGGACTAGCTCCCGGGCTCGCTTCACCAAAAACTCACAATCCCCCAGCGCCGACATCTTGCAGGACTTTAAAACTGCGCGCATGCGTACACATGGTCCAGTAAAGCTCGAGAATCTATTACTTCCCAGGACCAATGAAATCGAAGAACAATTCTACGCATGCTCAATATCTGAAGTTAAGCGGTCTTTTTTATGGACGAAGTAAATGTTACTTGGATTGAATATTGGATTTTCGTATTATGAGCCTTTCAGGTTACTATACAAGTCACTCTTTGTTTTCTTGTAATATATTTCGCAGGTGGAGCGATACTGTTCACTGCTGTTAGCTCTGAAGGTATTCCCTGGGTTTTTGTAGCTAAATTCTACTAATCTCTCCATCAAGCACCATGCGCTTGGTTAAAGTGTATATGAAGTTTTCGGGGGACTTTTAAAAAGTAAAATATTTATTAAAATGAAGAAAGATTTAGAGTTGAGTTTGTGAATTTTCCACTACTCTTTGGCAACGCAGATAATAAGCTGCTATTTAATCATAGCTATATTGACGGTCTGAACCTTTTCACTCTCTTGTGTACTTATTTGTTAGTTACAACGTATTTCCAAAACATGGTAACTTTAAAGTAAATGCATTTCGTCCTATTTATGATCTTACTATGTAAGTGTCAATGTACAGGCAATGTCTGTGTTTTAAATAAGGTAAGTACATTCAATCAAAGTATTTCCTTAGAGAAAATCAAATCATTAACAAGACATTACAGTAGTGATATTTTTCTTCTGTTCATTTGTGATACAGGATGATCCAAAACAGAGTTCAAATTGCCTGTGAACATCTAGCACAGGCTTCATGAAGTGGGATGGGAAAAATATTTTTACTAACTTCTAGTAACTGAAATGTAACTTTTTATTCATTAATGCATGTAGACAGTGAAATAATGTATGACCTCTAGATTCCAAAAATGTTTGTTGGCCTAAATAAATCTCACTAGCTGGAATTATCTTATACTAAAAAGTATTGCCCTGTTATTGGTCTAATGAATACATAATCACTATATTTACATCATGTAATTTTAAACTCTTTATAATTGTGTTTCAATTTTCTATTTCAATCTTTGTAATACAATCCACATCTATGTATTTCATTTTATGCATTTTGTATTAACTAAATACAAAAACAATAAAAAGACTACACACAATGATAAAAGAAAACAAATATGCTAAAGAAGAAACAAAAAGGGCATGTATTCATAAACGTATATAATGTTGTACTATGAATATTTCAGTGAATGGAAGCCATAATTCATTAAAATCACCCATAGCTTATCTATATTGATAAATTATTGATTCATAAATTGCTGGTAAATCAGTTCTGTAGATCCTGGAATAGTTGAATTCTGAACACCAAACTCAATAGTTGAAGCCCAGGTTGTGTTTCCAATAGTGAACATCAAATCTTTTAACTACAGGTAATATCCACATTTTTATCCAGATGTTTTCTCCATGTGATAGAGATAAACTTCAAAATAATATGAATATCTAAAAATATTGAATCTTAAACTAATTAATACATGTAATAACCTCTTTCTCAAGTAGAACAATTGTTGAACACTAGAAATATTTCTTGTTGAAAAAGATATGGTTTAAAATATATTTAAGCTTTTAGTGTTTTTAATATTGTTTTTAAATTAATAAAATATGCAAATAAAAGAGGAAAGGAAAAAGATACATTTACATGCATAAATGATAATTATAAAAAAATTGAAAGGTTTTTTTTAAAAAAATAGATTTTTCCAAGGTCCCTTCCAACTTTACTACTACTACTACAACTACTACTACTACTACTACTATTATTATTATTACTTTTCTTCAGATATTGCAGGAACAGTTAATCTCTACCAAATTTAGTAAAAATCAACAAATTCATTTGCAGATACTGGATATTTTGCTTCCATTTTCCTGCCTCACTGATTTCTCGTTTGATCCAATCAATTGAACAATCTGAATGATCAGACTTTTGGATCAATAACAGTCTTGACTCTAATTTAGCCAGAGATTGTCTTGCCTCAATATGCTTTGTTTCCTCTTATTGACTACTAGTTTATACAGTATTTGGATGACATGGGACAACTTGCTGCAGCCAACTCGTTACAGCCTATTTGCTGCAGTGTATTGTTCAGACCTTATTTGGAGATAATTCTGGTACACTAGCTCAGAAATAAGTAACTGTAGTTTTGTAAGAAATAAAGTATCAGTGTGCTTTGTTCTGCCTAATTTTACATAAGGTACTTGATGTCCTTTTTATTTGGAAGCCAATTTATTTGGCAGCTCTTTTCTTTATTGTAATTTTAAAAGTGACTAAGTGCTTTCTTACTGTATAAAAAGCAAACTTCTGTATCATTTAGCTTCACTTAGATCAGTAGAATTTATTTCTGAGAACATAAGCGGAAGATGAGTACTGCTAATTGCCCTGTGATGCACGTTCCCCCCCCCCCATCATTCATTTCTGGAGCTACTGCTGAAAAGAGTACCATTAATCTGTGGAGGGAAAAAAAAGCAAGGAGGAGGGAGCAAGCCTCCTAGTCAGTGGAAAGAATGCGTCAAATTCATATGGGAAAGATGTCTTCAGCCACGGCTGGACAGTTTAACAGCTCAGTTCCCTGTTCTGATTTGCACACTGAACTCTTTGAGAGTACGGAACCTCTCCCTCCCACTTCTCATTTCCTTTGAAACTTGCCAGGGGCATTTGAAACTTGTGGGATTCTACTCCCCCCTTCTCTCCCTCAGTAGCAGGTTTACGTGATAATGTTCCTTTTCACCCTTTCATTCCTTGAAGCTTTTTTTCTTTTTCCTGTTTTCCCCATTCTAAAATTAGAGTTTCTTACTGCAAATTCAGATTACTTAACAGCCCTATTCCTTAACAAGTACGACACTTTGCAACCTGGTGACAGTTTAGCAGTACTCAAAGAGTACAGCAGGTAAGAAGTTATCTTTAGTGTAGTTTAAAAAGAGAAAGACCTCCATGATTTCCAGAGTGACTTATGGAAGATAATAAATTATCCTTATAACATGGAACAAAGCCACAGCTTGTGAATGCTGGAAAGTAGCATGGGCCAACACAGATGATTGTATTCATGGTATGTGCTGACAATTATGTGAGTAACTTAGAATTTTAAAAATTAATTTTAATTCTAGAAAATTTAATAGTTTGCATGTGTGCTGGTATGTATGTATTTTGTTAACAAACATTACAGCAACGAACATTTCTAACATTTTTCCTTTTTAGTTTCCTAATTAAAATTAAAATGCCAAAATTTTCAATGTAAAAAAGATAATTCATCTATAAGTTGCATTATGAGTTGCATTTATTACCTTTTAAAATTACCATTAAATCAAAATCAACTAATTTTTTTAAGAAAAAAAATCAAGATCCTTTCAGGGAAATTTAATTCAATTTAAGATCCTTTCAGGGAAATATTCAAGTTTATTCAGAACCAGATTTCCTGAATCCAGTGATTTTAGAACAGTTGCATTAAAACTTGATATGTTATTTTCTACAGTACAGAGAAGACTTCAAATTGTATAGATTTTTAAAACCAATTGCAAATTGATCATACCTTTCTGGTGAATGGAATTTGGAAATTCAAGAAGATAATCAATGATAACAAAAATATTTTCACTTTTCACCAGTGTATACATGTGTATCAAGTGCCTTTTTACTAAGCATGCATAGCTGTTTCCTGTAATATTGAGAATATAATGTTGACTTGTAGAATGTTGGCTCATTAGGCCACCTCCAGTTGCCATAATTATGTACATGCTTTTTTGCATTTCAGCTGTTCATAGTATGATTGATTTTATCGTTATGAGAAATATTTAGATAACTGTTACCTGATTTTGCAGAATAAAATGAGTTTTCTTGATTTTATTGCTTGTTTGATGTAAGGGGGGAAATCTGGATGAGATAAGCATATAGCTAAAATATATAAGAGTAATGAGCTAAAATATAAGTTGAGGTTTTATATATTGTGAATCACAATTTGTTTTGGTTTCATGGAGAATTAATGGTTAAGGTATATATGCTTGATTTTAACCAAAATGCAAATGCACTTCTTGACTTTTTGGTTAAAATCAACTGTATATCTTAACGATTACATCACACTGATTCAACTTAACACCGTGGATAGTACAAGTTCCATTAGGATTTAATAGTGTTTTACACAATTTGTATTTGATCCTTGATTGTAATTTGTAAATGGATTGTAAATAAAGAAATATATAATTAAGAAGTTGGACTAGCACCAAGTTCTAGTTCACTTTTAACCACAGAAGTTCACGGGGAAATCTTGGGATAGTCAATCTCTCTAGATCCAACCTACTTCACAGAATTTTATTGTGGGGAAAAGTAAAAAGAAGGGGTGCTATCTATATCTCCTTAATCTCCTAAATGAAAAAGTGGGATAAAACAAATCTAGCAATGATTAAAATGACTCAAATGTTAGAAAAATAAATGAGAGACAGTGTGAAGTTAAAATGTAGGTCTATGGCAGCCTAGACCAAGCAAAAGCTGCCCAAAATCTTTTAGGGCTGCTGTGAAGATTATTTTATTCCAATGTAGTTTGTTCTGTTGGATAAAGTTGCTCAGATGCGCTTGGAATTGGAATGCAGTTGTACAGGTTCTGTGTAAGTTACCTGAGGCATAGTCATGCCCAGTTATCTGGGGAGAGTTCAGATCCATTAACCCTGATGAGCTTTGAGTTTGCCCAACTGGATCTTAGATCCTTATCCCTTTTTATTCCTTAGGGCAAAGGTCCCCAACCTTTTGGGCATCAGGGACCGGTTCTGTGGAGAGAGATTTTCCCGCAGACTGGAGAGGGCATGGTTTTGTGTGCTGCCTGCATCCTGCGGATGGGACTTTGCTTGTTTGTGCAGTCCGGTTGCTGGCATGCCACAACCCAGTACTGGTCTACGGACTGGAGGTTGGGGACCGCTGCCTTAGGGTATTCTGGCATAGGGCAAATGGTTGGGTCCATGTATTTGTGAATGCTTCTTAGCAGGAGGGGATGGTTGCATCTTTGTGGAAAGAAGTGGTTGTCTGCAAGTTTCCATAAGACATTGTCATTAGATCCAGTGAATCTGGACAATTTTGATCCAGTTTCCAACCTTGCTTTTTTAAGGAAGGTTGTTGAGATGTACCTTTAGCAGACTAAGAAAAATATAAAAAATAAAAAGTACAGAGAAAAGAAAGGGGGACAAGGAAAAATATAATAAGACAAAAAATAAGATATCTAAAGAAATTACTTCCCACTTCATCAAGAGTACAATCAATGTATCCATTGATTATATTAATGTTAAACAAGTAAATCAATTTCATATTCTTTTCTTTTATACAGTAACATCATTTTCTCTAAAAATACAATAAAAATATCTTGAAGTCTTTTGTTTCTTTAATGCATCACCATTAAAACTTACTCAATAAAAATGTATTGATGTTTATTCCTTTTAAGTAATGTGCCAAATATTTTTTTTTCATTCTCTCTTTATCTTTACTTAGGAACTCTTTCATAAGTATGATACATCTCTTTTATAAGTTCAAAACCAGAAAGTTGCCCAAGTCATTCTTCTGAGTTGAAATCCACACATCCAAATCACTCTTCTGATTTATTATTTGTCTGTCCCTTTTAGCTATTAAAATATCAGCCAGTTTCATGTGTAAGTCCCATGTAATATTTATGTCACTATCATTCTTGTAGTCTGTCTTTTTAAATTCATATACAAAATAGGCTGATCCTCAATTGTATCCTCCATCTCTCTTTTAAATTCAGTTGTACAGTAGTAGTCAATCTTAACAGAAAGTTCTGAAAACATGGTTGCCAACTATCCTTGAATTCTTCCAAAATTACCTACTTCTCTTCATTCTACATTAGTGGGTCTCTTCTCTTTTAATTACCTGTAGTTTTTTTCTGGTTGCCTCTTGTAACCAGCTTTCAAGGTCTCTTATATTTTTCTCTGAAATTTACATTTTCCTAAAGAATAATTCTTTACATTTAGATACAAAATTTTCATATATACATTTTAATAGGATTTTAAACAAATTGTAGGAAGGATTCTTATAATCAGTTTCTAAATCTTATTTCCAGTCAATCTGACCTGTTAGTCTGCTTATGTTTTGGTATCAGTGTTCTAATGGCCTTTTTGCTGCTTATTTCCAAATTTTTTAAAAAATCTTTAAGTTCTTAAAGGCACATGAAATTTCTTTCACTGAGGAATCACCCAGTATAATGAAACTTTACCTCGATATTTAAAAAGAAATTTGCAAGCCATTTTCAGAAGTGATTGAGAGAGGAAGTGGGTTCCTTTGAAGGTTCTGAACTGCAGCTTGAGCAAAGCTGATTCTCCCACCTCTCAGAACTGTAAACCTTTTTACAGTCTCATCATGAGGAGCATTTGCTTGGAGCACTGTGGGCAATTCCAGGTACTTTCCTGTTTCCAGAGAGGAATTTCAAGGCACCAGCCCATTCCTCAGTTTCTTGTTCGTTGCTTTCCTGGAAACCAATCTCTCGTTGGCTTTCACTGAGCAATTACCAATGATCATGGTATCCTGGGCAGACTCATGGGATTGAGATTGGGATTGGGAGACATGTGTTATGATATTTCTCTTTCCTCCAGGGCCAGTTCCAGTTAATGTTGGTGGAAGAGATCAAGCCTGAGGCCCCTGACTATATTTTTCCCATCCCTATGTAATATCTACATGGAGCCACTGGGCAAGGTCATGAGCAGGAATAGTGTGTGATATAAATATTCTGATGATAGACCTGGCTGTTTCCTAAGGTGTTTGGGTCAGGTGGGCAGATGAATTCTGTTACAGATGTCTTTTTCTCTATTCGTGTGGTTATTGTTTATCTCTGGGCACTCTGGGTTATATATGGTGTGAGTTTTTATCTATATTAATCTTTGTAAGCCTCCAGAATCACTTGTGTGAGATGGTCAGATACATAAATTAATTAAACACAATTAGACTGTTCTGATACAAAATAGTTTAGAAATGGGCTCTTAACTGTCAAGTTTCAATATCAAGCGTATCTACTTCCATTTCAGCAGTTTGTCATAATCCAAAGCATCTTTTGTCTAACATTTATAAAGCACAAAGCACTAACCTCTTGTGGAGTCTGTTTCCTAATTTGGATAACATTGAACAATTAAAATTGCATTGGCAACAAGACAAGACATTTTATTTATAGATCAGCTCAAAAACAGAAAACAAAATGTGAGATAGCAGATAAAAACCATAGTATAAGCCAGTAATTATAAAACGGTGTACTCAAGATATGACACATTTTACAAATACTGCAGTAAAACAACTCAACCATTTAGCTCCCAATTAGCTTCTGAATACAACTCAAAGTGCTTATTAAAAACTTCAGTGAAATCTGTCCAGTCCATAAATTCAAGCAGAGAAAATGCTTAAGGACCTGTTCCATGATAACTAAAGGAAACAGTGGCCCCAAAGCAACCTGTCTCCATAGAAGCCCCTTGTTTTGAAAACTTTGTTTCCAGAGTTGTATCAGGTATCATTAGAATCATTAAAGTAATCTTATTTCAGTGATGGGATGGCTCAGCGGTTAAAGACTCTGAGCTTGTCATCTGGAAAGCTGACAGCTTGGGTTAGAGATCTGAACACTGCGTGATGGGGTGAGCTCCCATTACTTGCCCCAGGTCCTGCAAACCTAACAGTTCAAAAGCATGCAAATGTGAGTAGATAAATAGATACACTTAAATGGGAAGATAACAGTGTTATGTGCGCCTTGGTGTGACCATGGAAATGTCTTTGGACAATGTTGGCTCCCTTGGCTAAGAAATAGAGATGACCACTGCCCTCTAGAGACACACACAACAGGAGAAAGCTTTACCTTTATTTCAGTGATGACTAATTCTTAGTTGTCTGTTGCACTCTTTGATACTGGGCTGTATTCCTTTATTCTCTTGATGTTGACTCATATTTCTTTTATTTTTAACTGGTAAACTTCCCAGAGTTTTTAGAGGTTTTTTTAAATAAGGGTCTGAGACAGACATGTCAAACACAAGGCCCGCGGGCCAGAAGCGGCCTACTTCACATATCCGGCTTGATGGGCTCTGGGGGAGGGGTTTTGGCAGG